TTTCCAATTCCTAGAGAGAATTGGTTGTCCCTCACTCCTCCCTTAGTTGCATTTGGATTTGATCCTTCCATGGTTGCATGAAGGCTACAATCTAGTATGTTGGTGATCATACTGGTAGCTTTAAAATCCACAGGTGATGTCAAACAAGGATGTGTTCTGGCACCCATCCTTTTTGGTATATTCTCTCTGCTGCTTTGTAATGCTTTCTCATCTAATACCACCGGTGTTCATCTCCACACAAGATCAGATGGAAAATGCTTCAACATTGCATATTTAAGAGCATGATAAGAGAACTTCTTTACGCCAATGACGCAGCACTTCTCACACACAGTGGGAGGAGCTCCAGCAGCTTTGCAATAGCATGCATTAGCTTGTGAGGAATTCAGACTAACCATCTGCCTAAGAAGACAATGTTGTGTGTTTTTTGCACCAGAAGTTTTAATAGCTAGTACCAAGCTAGAAGTTATGCACAAGTTTTGCTCTCTAGGGTCAACTACATTAGATACCTGATCTCTAGATAAGTTCTGAGAAGGGCTGCCACGCGCATTTGGTCAACTGACTAAGCACTTGAGCACCAAGATATGGGTCTTCCAGAAATTCATTTTGAGCACGCTGCTGTATGGTGGCAATACTTAGAGCACTAAGCAGGCATGAGAGAAGGTTAAACAGCTTCCACACCTGCTGTCCTCGTTGTATTTTCAATATCAAGTGGGGAACCAAGGTGCCTGATAGCAAAGTACCTGAAAAAGCAAAATTCTTGTAGTGAGTCAGCTTTATCTTCTGGCCCTGCACCTTATTGCCTACATTATCTCTTGCAATGACTCTCACTTTAGAATTGGACTTTTTAGCTACTTGTGATGCTGCAAGCATGACATGCAGCAACTGAACTGGTTTGGCACTCACACCATTGTCTTTCAAGATGGAGGGTTGCCATGAGTGTTGTTGTTTTTTTTTTTTTAAACTATGCACTTCACTAACTTGATTTTCTAGCAAATTGCTTTGTCGAGTTAATTTTTAAAAAAATCTAAGTGTTAAACTTTTTGTTATGGTTATGGTTCGCCTGAGTGAACTTGGTTATTCCACCTACTCTTTGCTTAAAACATATAATCTCCACCTCCAATCTAAACTACTGTTACTCGTGTAGGTCACTGAATGTTCCTCCCTCACTGTCCTCACAGAGATAATCTTATAAATGTCTGGAATCTGAAGCTAACTTGATGCATGCTTTCTGCCTCATCAGTCACATATTTAAAGCAGCTTTAAACAGTCAATTTTGTTCTTTAGAAAATCAAAAGAAAACATTAATTGTCTTCAGATTAGAGAAACAATTGGGCTTTAAATCTGTTTGCCTTACAGTAGTGTGAGAGGAAGAGTGGTCCAGTGGTTAGCGTGCCAGCCTAGGACTTGAGAGATTTGGGTTCAAGTCCCTGCTCGATAGCAGACTTCTTGCATGACCTTGAGCAAATCATTTAGCCTCCCTGTGCCTCAGTTCTCCTTCAGTAAAATGGAAAGGATAACAATGCCTAACCTCACAAGGTGTTAGGAATAAATACATTAAAGGTTGTGAGGCAACCAGATACTACAGGTCATAGAAGTACTTTAAATAGAGCGCCCAATCAGGGAGCAGTGTCCCATTATGCTAAATGCTGTACAAATGCATAATGAAAAGATGGCCCCTGCACCAAAAAGCTTGCTGCCTAACTTCACACGTGATGTCAGTGGGAATGGAACCCATGGATATCTGTGGGCCAAATTCAGTGAGGAAAATGGTGGTGTCAGTTACACAGCAGGTGTAAATAGGTCAGAAAACATGGATGTTCTGATTTTCTGGGGTTGGGGTGGGAATCGTTGGTGTAATTAACAATGTGGGGCTGGCTCTAGATGTGGCATCCTATTATTGAGAATTGTGTGAATAAATGTCTTCTACTGTCCCTCACAGGGCAAACAAGGCTATGTGTCCTCAATTCAGTGTCCAGATTCTCTTGTACACCTTACGTTTTTATGTTCTGTAATGGGATCAAATGTAGAATCAAGCGTGTGGTTTGTGTGTGTATATATATTTAAATATGATTACTTGTGCATATTTACATATCAATATCTGCGTTGTGTATACAGATATATATTTCTCTGTGTCCCTGACTCCAATTTGATTTCACTTTGAAGAGCCGTGATCTGTCATTTGTTTCTCCAGAATTACTTCCTTGGTGAAGCCAATGACCACTGTAGAATGAGAAACAGATCTTCTCCCTGAGGCAAGCATTTGATCAAGTGACCATTACTTTCATTTGGAATTGGTGTAGGGGAATACCATGCCGAACTACTCAATTTGGGTCAATGGGGAAGAATATTTCTTTTTTCATCTCCCCAACTCCTACCATAATATGCTCATTTCCTCTTCTTAAGAGCTGGTTATCAGATCCCTTTTATAAGCATTTGTCCCCTTTCTAGGGGACTTCCCAAACATGCAAATGCTAATCTCTTACTTTGTGACGGTCAGAGTAATACAACTTTCAGCAGCTGGGGAGGGGAAGCAAACACTCATCGGGGGATGGTTGGATGGTCTAACAGGGCTTTACTATCTTGAACTTCTCTTTCATGGAATTATAACAGTGTACTCTTTGTTCAGTAAGGCCTAGCTGCTTTGGTTCTCTTACTAATTCCCAGTATTGCCAGTCCCAAATGTTTTAAAACCAACAATCCATGAGTTGGGTCCCCAAAAATCATGACTGGCTTAAACACAGAGATTTAAAAAAAAATTGGGGTAAAGACTCTTTTTGCCTTTTGGTTTTTAAGCCTTTAGGTTTTTTCCTTGACCATGATTCATTTTTTTAAAATGAAAGTCTAGTTTCTCACATAATCACGTGACTGCAGGAGCTGTCGCTTTAAGGAAAAGACCAAACATTGTGAGACTTGTGATAAAACCACAAGAGTTGGCAACACTGATTTTGCCTGTAGAGCTAGTGACAGCCCTCTGAAATGCAGAGTTTGATAACGGCAAAATCTCTGTGACGTGACATAACATAGAGATTTGGGGTTATCGTACTAGTTAGTAGGTTACATGGGGCTAG